CATAATTCGAATGTAGGTTTGAATACTAAAGTGGTCAAACCGGTTTTTAGAGGTTCGAACCGAACCTATATTTTAATTTTTTACGAACCGAACCTGAACCTTGAACCGTTATTTTATCCGAACCTGAATCTGAACCGAACCGAAATTCGTTTCAGTTTGGATCCCTGAAAAAAAGTAAGGGCCTGCCTTTAAACATAATTTTTAAATTAACATTATTTCATAACTATTCATTAAATTTAAATATTATGATATTTTGGGTTAAATTTGTTTAATTTTAGCCAGATAAAGAGTCATAACTCCTAAACTCATCTTCATCCCAGTCTAGGATTTTATACAAATATATAGAAGTGTGATATCTATCTAAAAAAAATTTTGAAAAAAATACCTTTTCTTTTCTATGACCATTTCCGGGTTTATACATCCGGTTTTCGATATTAATAAAATTTATATCATATTTATTTTTATGTCATATAAAAGAAATATTATTAAGCTACATAATAAAATTTAAATTATTTTTATAACAATTATTTCTCGAAATATTTGAAAATAAATGAGGTACATTTTGTCAAAAATGTACCATTTTTTCGCGCTTTAAACAGCCATATCTTGGCGGGTAAGCAGTGTTAGAAGGTATAATTTCATTTTTTCTTAGTTATAGTATATACTACAAGTGTGCAAAATTTAAGAAAAATTGAAGGGGGGGGGGGTCATTCCATGTCAAATGAGCAAAAAAATCAAGATTTTCTGCCGACCCCTTTCAATTTTGATAAAAAGTTGTAGACTGGTTATATATTTTTCCATTAGATTATAAACAAAATTTTAACGCATTAGCAACTATATTAGCGGAGATAATCGGGGTTAAAGGTCCAAAAAACGCCCTTTTTTCCTTTTTACTGATGTTAAATAATTAGTTTTTAATTTAAAACTAAATATGATCAAATATTGAATCTAGTATCAATAGCTAAGTTAATAATTGATAATTATGGCGAAAACATCAAAAATAATTTTTTTTAAAATATGGGTCATCTTATGGTCAGTTGAAAACTTGAAATTAATATTTCGAAATGTATATGTTCTCCGGTTTTTAATTTTTTTAAGAAATATTATCTGTTTACTATTTTTTTAATAATTTCTTTAACAATTAGCATGGCTGGATATTTATTTAAAAAAATATTGCGATTTTTATACTTTTAAAAAAATAGATGGCGCTATATATGATAGTTTTAATATGTTAAAATTCATTTTTTTTATTGATTAAAAATATTTTAATATATAATAGATCATAAAATTCGATTATATAACTTTGTAAACCTTATTCCCCTGAGATATTCGCAAATAAAAAATTTTAATAATTTTTTTAATATTTCAAATGTAAATTAAAATAATTAAAAAATCGGACTAGCACACGAACAAAAAAGCAGGATTAAAGGAGTGCAGGAAAATTATTAAGGGAAAAATCGAAAATGACATTAATTACCAGGCCTACCCACAATCCCCCCCCCAGACTAAGTCATACCCATCAAGACCAAGAATGTTATGAAATTGTCATTATCTTACATTATTAAAATAACCAGAGATAAAGAAAATTTCAAAGATTTTGAAAAATTTTTTAAGCAATAAAAATAACAAAATTATAGTTCTGATGAAATAAGCCGACTCATGCCTGGAATAAAAGATTTTGTATCTGTTAAAGGCGAGAAAGAATCAGCAAAGATTTATATTAAATAATCTTAAAGAAATATTCAAGATGTTTAAGGAAGAATACCCAAGTATATCAATTGGATTCTCTAAATTTGCCGAACTTAGACCAAAAAACTGAATTTTAGTTGGATGACACACACACTGTTTGTGTCTGCGCCGTTCATCAGAATGTGAAATTAATGACAAATGTAATAGCTGTACAGCAGGAGAAGATTACTGTATAAATTCTTATAACAATCTTTTGGCGCAAATTATTTGTAATCCATCTCAGCCAAAATTTATTTAACAAATTGTGATCAATGCCCTGGTATAGAATCCCTTATGGGCCAATTATACGAATTGTTTCAGAGAAATCGTATAGAATATGTCACGTTTAAACAATGGATCACGGTGGATAGAGCAAATCTTGAAACTATTATAAAGTCCATTGATGGTTTCATCGAATATCTATTATAAAAAGTTCAAATTTTACTGCGTCACTCGTTTATAGCTAAACACAAAGTTTATTTTTGAAGAATTTTAAAGAAAATTTAAAAGATGAGGAATTTTTAACAATTCTAGATTATTCTGAGAATTATTCCTTCATTTTACAAGATGAAGTTCAGGGATTTCATTGGAACAATGTGCAGGTCACTATACATCCATTTGTAGCATATTATAAATCTGGAGAAGAATTAAAAAAATATAAATTTTGTTATTTTGTCCAAATCATTAAGCCATAATACTAGTGCAGTCCACCTTTATCAAAAAAAAGTCATTAAATTCTTAACAGCCAAATTTAATTCTAAACCAGAAAAAATAATATATTTTTCGGATGAAGCCGCTTCTCAATACAAGAATCGCAAAAATTTTCTGAACATATGCTTTCATAAATACGATTTTAATATTCCTGCCGAATGGCATTTCTTTGTCACTGCTCACGGCAAAAATGCATGTGACGGTATCGGAGGAACTGTCAAAAGATTAGTTGCCAGAGCTAGTCCTCAAAGGCCAAATAAAAATCAAATCCTAACCCCATTAGAATTATATAATTATGCTAAAGAAAATATTAATATTCAATTTGAATATGTATCCAATCAAGAATATATCGAAGAGGAATTAGCGCTTCGTAAAAGATTTAATTCTGCACTGCCCATACATGGGACCCAAAAAATTCACGGGATTATTCCCATTGATCAAAATAGACTAAAAACCAAAATATATTCTAATTCCAAAAAATATAATATAAAAGTTTCGTTTTTAAATGAGAAAATTTTATTTTAAAATATTAATGGATATATAACATGTTTATATGATGATAAATGGTGGTTAATATATAATCGATAAAAGTGATACAAATGAAGAAGTAAAAATCCTATTTTTACACCCTTGTGGACCTTCAGCCTCATTTAAATTTCCTCTGAAAGATAATATTTTAGTGTTGCTTAAATCTCATATTCTCTCGCTGGTCAATCCCTCTACTCCCACCAGTCGAACTTATATTATCTGAAGAATCTCACAAGCTAGCCAGGCTTTGTATTCCTTTAGATGAAGTAAGATTTAATTAATTTATAAACTATCTTAATTAGGCAAAATTTGTGAAGATTTTAAAAATTTATGATCTGAATTACAAATAATATATATAATGCACATTGTAATCGATTTAGTATGATATATATACATTAAAATATTTTTAATCAATAAAAAAAATAAATTTTAACATATTAAAACTATTATATATAGCGCCATCTATTTTTTTAAAGTATAATAATCGCAATATTTTTTTAAATAAATACCCAGCCATACTAATTGTCGAAGAAATTACTAAAAATTAGTAAACGGATAATAATTCTTAAAAAAATTAAAAATCGGAGATCATATACATTTCGAAATATTAATTTCAAGTTTTAAACTGACCATAAGATGACCCATATTTTATCAAAAATTAATTTTGATGTTTTCGCCATAATCATCAATTATTAACTTGGCTATTGATATTAGATTCAATATTTGATCATATTTAATTTTAAATTAAAAACTAATTATTTAACATCAGTAAAAAGCAAAAAAAGACGTTTTTGGACCTTTAACCCCGAATATCTCCGCTAATATAGTTTTTAATGCGCTAAAATTTTGTTTATAATCTAATGGGAACATATATAACCAGCCTACAAATTTTTATCGAAATCGAAAGGGGTCGGCCGAAAAGTGATTGATTTGACATGGAATGAATGACCCGCTATTGCTATTTTCGCCAACTACAATGCTACCAAACTTTGTTGAATTTTGGATCTGAAAATTAAGCTTATTATTTAATGAAATTTAAGAAAAGATTAAATAAAAATTGTCTTGTTATAATTTTTCCATTATTTTTGAAAATAATGAAATGTAACACGTTACCGCTAAACAACTAATGAAATTTCTCTTTCTTTTTGGAAAAAGGTACTTCATTACTAACCTAACAACTTTACTTTACAGATCAATAATATTTGAATTAATTTGATATTATTAATATAACATTATTATTCACACTTTTGGTTAGTGTTAATGTTGATTCGTGTTTTTTTCTCGTTAAAGGAGTGTTTTATAATAAGACAATGATATTTGGTGTTGGTCGTCATATAGCAATTTGTTAAATAAATTTTTTTTTATTAAAATGCAATAAGACCTACTTTTATTATAACAACTGTCACAGACGCTAATAGAAACAACATTTTTTTATATATAAAGATAAAATTACAACCTTTCTAATATTTTAATAAAACATGAAAAATCAATAACATTTGATGCTATACATCATTACCCTTAATAAATTTGAATGAGATTCAAATAAGGGGAACATAGATATTTACATAGTTTGACTCATTACAATTAATTATTTAATTCAGTGATCTGTTTTAGGCCTAATTTTTCAAGCCCGTCTCGGCCCGATATTTAACTAAAAAAAATTCTCCAGCCCTATCCCGAACTAATTTTTTTTATTTGTCCTGAAAAGCCCTACCTCAAATAAAAATTACTTGTTCGCCCGGCTTGAAAAAAATATTCTACAAATAAAAAATATTGGCGCCTTGTTTTTTGCAAGATTTTAAAAACGTATCAATTTATTTCACAAATTTGAATGATATATTAAATAATTTAAGCCCGACCCAACCCAGTTCGAATTTTTTTTAAAAGATATTAGGCCCGACATAGCCAGAACCAAAATTATTTCTAAAAAATAGGCCTGGCTGGCGCCGGGATTTGCAGATCTCTAATTTAATTTACTTTACTATTATAAAATGTAGATAATAAAAAAAGGCTTAAATTATTATTTTATAAAGCTTGATTTGCAATATAACTGTAAAATCCTTCCATTAAAAGAAGTATACAACCTAGTATCGATAACAATGAATGACGACTACGATATGATAAGGCGTAATTCTATCATTTTATTGCATCAAATAGCTATTTCTCACCCTGATCGGTAATATCTTATAGTTGCTACTTAATATTTTACAACATTTTTATATTTAAAAAGCTCTGTTAATACTTCAACAACATTGCGAGAAATCAAAAATAGAGCTTTTAAATTCTTGCTTGCTGAAGCCTCTCAATTAATCCAAAGTTTGTTTTATATGATTGAAAAAAATATTTTTATAATATAAATGGCTTATACATTCTTGCAAAATTTATAAAACTAAGGCAGAGATAAAGGAAAGTTGAGTAGTGGGAGGAATAAGGAATAATATATAATTCTAATATTCATATATAGTACATATTCTTTTCATTATAAAAAGGCGATCTTGATTCATGTCAATCAGCACCTTTCACCTATGATGCAAAAGAAATACCTGCTCATCCTCTGAAATCACCACTATTAATAGAAGACACTTTTCACAAACTATGCAAAGTAGTAATAAATGACATATCATCGTCTATAAGGGGCTTGGCAGTACGATTATTAGCCTTTCCCTATAAGGGATATTTAAATGTCGACAAAAATATTGAGACGAATGCCCTTGATATACTATGGCCTTTAATGCGAGGAAACGAACGTGAATCAGCCGAAATCTTGCTCCAAACTTTGGATAAAAGGACTCTCTTGTCTAACATGCGAAAGAAAAGATCGTTTCACGAGAGAGCACTCAAAGGTTATACAACCGGAGATAGTGCAAGTGCCATTAAGGATGATAGGCCTCTAGAAAAAATTGGTTATTTTATTTACTATACAGAACATTTCAGAAGAATGCCTCCTTTTCTTTTTTTCTATTAAAAAATTAATAATTTACAAAAAAGTTAAAAATAATGATTCATTTCTTAACCGGTTGAGTTAACTTCTTCGTCTAAAGGTCGTTTTAAAGGTACCCAGTGAGCCAGTTTCTGCAATTCCTTTTACTTTTTATAGTTTTGGGAATCGCTATATGTAAAACCTATTAATTTAATGTCATTCATTATCACTTTTATCCTCGTTTTGGTCTTCCTCTAGGCCTTGATCCCATTACTTCTATCATAGTTTATCTACCCAATCATATTTCGTTTAGCATATCCAAACCACCTTAATCTATTTCTTCATTTTTACTTTTTGGCGGATCGAGGATATGAATATTCGAATATTATAGATACAATTTGTTAAGTACATAATCTCAAACGGTGATACACTTAATGGTCATGTTAAATAGATAGCCCCATAATTTTCTTTCGTAAATTTTAACTCGCAATTTTTTAATAACGAAGTTACATCAACAAACATTAATAATAATTTGGGTTACATAAAAATCGATATCTTTTCTGGTATTCATTCTTCTTTAATAGTTGTCCATATGATTTCATAATCTATAGCGCCTCCTTCATTGTGTCATTTCTTCCTTCAATAATTCCCCAAGTTTTCATAATCTTTATCGCAATTTTGATTTTGTACCTGCTGTCTGATACATTCCTCGTCTGTCTGATTTTGATTAATAGATCTTCCTAATGAGTAAATATGCCAAATAGAGGTGGGCGCGGGTCTAGTTTTTTTATTCACGGCCCCTCCACTCACGGTATCAATAAAAAATTTACGCGCTTTCACGCTTACTACGCTCACGAAGGACAACATTTTGTTCACTCCCGTCACATCCGAAAATTCAGTGTTTTTAAATTTTTCTAAACTTTATTGCTATACTTTTACCCTTTTTTGAATTTTTCTATCAGTTTTATTTCTCTAATTCCATATTAATAAAACAAAATAATTATTATTTATAAATCAAAATTTTTATTTAAAAAAAAAGAATAGCAAGTTTTTTTATTACAATTATGTTCTTTCTAATAAGCGATTGGTTATAGAAAATAATTTCACTAGAAGCCCAACTTGCCGGGACTGACAAAATTTTACTATTCCAAAAATTCAAAATATTGTCATTGTTATTTGTTTTATGAGTGATGAATCTTTTTAAGTTCATCCTCACAACTTACTTCGGTAGATGTTGATGTTTCATCAGAATCATCTAGAAATTCTCAAAATGTTTCATTTAGAGCAGGGTTGTACATTTGACCGGTCAAATATGATTCGGTCTATGTTTTTTAAGACAATGTTAACTTAATTTTATTTATAATAGTAAAAATGATCTATATATTATTTAATTATATTTTTTTAAATTCTATAATTAATGTTTCGCTCCCCATGGCAAAATTTGTTCTGAATTATATTCAATATCATTTTCTTTAATATTTTTAATCAACCTATGATATTACTCTTACCAATTATATGGTTGTCGAGATCTTCAATCGATTTCTTTTCTTCGTATGAATGCCCCAACCCGACCAATTTCTTGCTACTAGGAATTGTTAGTAAGATATTAGAGCCCTTAATGTTTAAGGGGCAAAACCCATTCCAACAACTTGGACCGAGATCTGATTATTTTTTATTAAGACTGCTCACATATTTTGGCTATTAAATATACGCCGCTTTTACTTCTGATATTTAGGATATATTTTAAAATATTTGATTATCATCACCTCATAAAATGGCTAATTCTTATATTATATCACATGCTTCATCAAACTCACTATTAATAGATGCAACCCATATATTGGGGTCCAATAAATAATCAGCTGTGTGAGCACATGTATTTGGATTGTTTTTTCTTTTTCAACGTATCATTTTTTCTTCAGGTAGAGAAATTATAAAATCATGACATGATTGAATTGTTTTTCTTATATTTTAATATAAAATTATAACTAAATAGATGCCTAGATGATACAAATATATTTTAAAATAAATTGTAATCTAAGCATAGTTAATTAAATCAATATATATATTAATAATATTCTAGATAATTTGACCAGGTCAAATACTCCTTTGGCCAATTGACCGACTTATCAATGCTTATTTAGAGAATACGATTTTTTGTGTATGTAGGATGAATTAGAAAAGTTATAAATGATAGTTCGCACTGTCTTATGCATATCATCTAAATTTATATCATTTAGCATTTTCAAGGTTGTTTCATATATCTTTCTTTTCTTCGTCCATTAAAAAATTAAGAATTTTAAATTCAGATCTAGAATTAAGCCTAACTTATGTAGTGGCTGCATGATAAATCTTTTCTTTAAAAGAAATACTAATTTTTGTTTCCATAGATAAATTTCATTTATTATGGGACGAGAATCTGCGCGAGGTTATCTGATCATTCTTTGAATATTAATAAAAATTTTAGTAAAACATTTAAATTAAATTTATTTATTACCAAATTTCCATTGCTGAACGAGAGTTGAGAGATTTATTATTTTTCATTCAATTGAAAATTTATGAGATAGTATATAAAATACTGTAGTTTTTTTGTTTTCAAAAATTATTATTTTTTCAAAAAGAACTAAATTAAATTAGAAATATATATTATAATTATAAAATTGAAAATTTATATTCATAAAAAAGAAATTAAAATTTTCGTAATTCACGGGAAATTTATGTTCACGCCTGGCAAAAATTTTGGGAAGGCTCGTTACGCCTAATATTTTAAAATTTATTCACACTCACGCTGTGACCCATCATGTCACTTATTATCACCGCCCACGCTCACCTCTATACTTAAGAATCTGTTTCGTTCAGGGTTTAACAAAAATCTTAAGATTTTTTTCGCCCAAAATTTTGAGCAAATCGATTTTCTTACAGAAGATCAGAAAAATTTTTACAAAAATTTGTGATTTCATCATGAAAGAAAATCCTGTTAAAGCATTCTCAAAAAATCTTCCTTTAAAAAATCTTCTTTTTAAAAAAACTTTCTAGATCAAATCTTTAAAGATTTTTCTTTTTGAGCAAATGTTAGACTCTGGTTTCGATATGTATTTTTATCAGGGTTATGCATTTTACCGGCCAAAAATGTTCAAATTCAAGTAAATGTTTTTTAAGACAATATTAACTATATTTAATATATAATAGTAAAATGAATCTATAATATTAATTTTTTAAATTCATTGTCATTCAATAACTATTGTTCCGCTCTCCATGACAGAGTCTTATTCTGATTAATATTAAATATTATCATTTTCTTAAAAAATTTTTAATCTTCCTATTGTCGAGTTCTTCAATGGATTTCCAAAAATGTTCAAATTCAAGTAAATGTTTTTTAAGACAATATTAACTATATTTTATATATAATAGAAAAATGAATCTATAATATTAATTTTTTAAATTCATTGTCATTCAATAACTATTGTTCCGCTCTCCATGACAGAGTCTTATTCTGATTAATATTAAATATTATCATTTTCTTAAAAAATTTTTAATCTTCCTATTGTCGAGTTCTTCAATGGATTTCTGTTTTAGTAAGAATATTAAACCTTATCGACCAATTTCTTTTCCAAAAGAAAGTAGAAATAGGAATTGTTGGAAAAATGCCAATAAGATGGTGACAAAAGCCCATTTTACTAACTTGAGACCAGAATATGATTGTTTCTTTTGGAATTTACTGCCTCCCACATAATTTTTACTATACATGTCTCTTTTACTTCTGAAATTTTATGATATCACTTGAAATATTTTGATCACTACCACTCTATAAAAAGTCTATTCTTACATTATATCACATACTTCATTAAATTCACTACTAGTAAGATGCTCCACTTGATATTGAGGATTCAATAAACAAATAGCATTATGATCACATGTATTTATATCGTTTTTCTTTTTTTCAAACACATTTTTAATTATCCAATATGGCATTTTTCATATTTAATTCATTTAAACTACGAATAATAAAATTTACTACATTCGAATAATTTGTTTAAATAATTCTTACATACGAAAATATATTGATAGATTTTTTTTATTGCACGTATATTTTAAACAGAAAAATTATTATAATAATCAGATTATAAAGGACGAGCGATCAAATTATTAACTTTAAATGCATATTTATTAATTTATAATGCCAAGCCAATTTTTAAGACAAAATGTTTTTATTTTTTCTACTTTACAAGACATGCGATTTTTAATTGCAAATTAGTTTTAACTGAGAAAAATCTTTCACAGCAAGTTGATGTTAACCTTGTAGAGATCTGCAAAACAGCCCGCTTCGACCCAATAGGGATTCTTAAATTGTTCAGCCCTTTAACTTGGCTCGGACTATTAAAATTTAGCGAAAAATTCGTCCTTGCCCATTAAATTTTTTTTACCAATTTTTTGCTATCACATTTTTAATATATATATGATATCTTTTCCAATGTCAAATAGGGCTTTCATATTTTCCTCTATGTCTATCTATTTCTACAACAACCGTTTTATAAATCAATTGTGTTTGATATCTATATTGTGTATTTGTAATTGAATCGTATCATAAATAACTTGTTTAATTTTTTGTATTTATTATATTATTTAGAGTTACTATTTTAGTTAGACAGCTCTTAAAATACGAAAAACATCATGTAATATTTTTTCAAATAGTATTAATCGAAATCAAAATATTAGCTTGAATACAAAAAAAAATATCAAAATTTTAATATCAAGGCTGGCCTATTAATACTTTACCAAAAATCAGTTTCGAGGCCCTGCCTGATTTTTATGTAAAAATTGTCCAGCCCGGTCCGAAATATTTTATATACAAATAGCCCGGTTCATTAAATTTTTTACCCTCTTCCTGTTATTAATTTTTAAATGTCTGGCCCGGCTTTGCAAATCTCTAGTACCTCCTCTGTACATTGAGGCAGAATGCAGGAACTTTGGGCAGTACCGGTTTAGTTAAGAGATGTCACAATGCTAACTAGTCATAGTAGCACGATTAAATAACTATCAGATCGCTCCTCATACACTCGGATTTGGATATCTCCATATCTTTCTAGCATATATAATATGGAATCATTTATATCTCCTTATATGATATATTAAAAATTTTACAAATTAAGATGCTGGAAATGAGATATGTGCAAATGCTGGAGCCTTGGTTCACGGGTTGGAGGATGAATCTTCAGAGGTCAGATTGCTGACCATATATTCAATGTCTGCATTGGCTCTTAGATCTACTCATAAAAGATTAAACCATGAAAATTCGTCAATTGATGTAAAATATATAATTAGATTTTTAAAAGTCTCTAATTTCAGTGTTGTTAAACTTTATTTTGCACTATCGCTTGAACTATTTTTAAAAAAGGTAGGAAATTTGTAAAATATTTTATATAATCGTCAGCTGAGGATTCTAGTACCATATCTATTTCTTCCTAAAACATTTTTTAAAATGTACCTGTTATAAAATTAATAGGGAAAAACGTATCCTATGCTTTCAAAATGTACATATAATTTTTATCTTTTTAATTGTTAATTATTACTGATTTATTCTGGCAATTGTTCAAGGAGTAAATTTATTACACCTTCACTACGTATATATTTAGCTAAATTCAATTTATTGCGGGCCGGACTCGGGCCTAATTCTATTTAAAATAATCAGGTTCGGGCCGGGTCGGGTCGGACCTTGGAAATTTTTTAAAATATATCTAAATTTATCAATTTTATATTGAATTTTTTATGTAAATTAAAAATATTTGATTTTATTTATTGAAACTAAACGACATATAACATATGTCTTTTTGAGTAATTATAAAAATTAATTTCTATATTTAAATAAATTCGGGCCGGGTCGGATCGGTAAATTTTTGTAAAAAAAATTCGGGTTCTGGTTGGGTCGGCAAAACTTTTTTAAAAAAAATTTCGAGCCGGGCAGGGTTTGAAAAATTAGGCCCGATGCAGATCACTACAATATATTACAATATCCCCACTAGAGGTCTGCATTTCTAAATGGGCGGGCGGGTAAAAATTTTTTTGAGAATAAGCAAGCGGGCGGGCGGGTTAAAAAAATTTTGAAACTAAGGGCGGGTGGGTGGGCGGGTTAAGAAATTTAAACAATGGGCGGGCGGGTTAAGGAAATTTAAAATTTTTGTTCAGAGACAAACTAAAGAAAAATCATAATTAATTAAATGATCAATAACAATATTTCTTTTTTTATTGTACCAATCGTTTTTTTAAGTGAAGAACACTTTACTAGATTTTGTATGTTTGTACCATTTCTTTTCTTGATAGAGTTAATGTGTCATAAGTAGGATTTCTTATATATTAGACTGTTTTATTTTTTCTTGTTATTCTATCATCATTTTTCTCTATTGGGTTTCGCGATAAAGCATCTGCAGTTATATTAATAGCGCCATTCTTGTACATTATATTATAATCATATGCAGATAATTTATTAGCCCAACGTAATAATCTTTGGTTTGTTAATGAGCTTAAATCTCTGTTATTACCATATATCTTTATTAAAGGTTTGTGGTCTGTTCAAATTTTAAATTTTCGTCCTTACAAATAGTTATGAGATTTTTATACGCCATTATTGCTTTGCTTCTTTGTCTATTGTAGAATAATTATTTTCAGCGTCTTGTAAAGTTCTTGAGGTGTAATCTATTGGAAGTTCGTTACCATTATCATATTTTTGCATGAATACAGCTCCAAATCCTTGGTTAGTTGCATCTGTTTTTAATATTAACTCGAGGTCTGGTTTATAAAACTGTATAGTATTTTGTTCTGTTACTATTCCGAATAGCATGAAACGATTGCTAAAATACAACGGTATTTTATTTTGGATGACAGATTAATCTTCATACTCACTTCAAAAAAGAGTTTTATATATATTGCATACGGGACATCCGGATCTCACTTGAGGAAGAGGATATACTTTAGACGGATATCCTACTTTGGTGGAAACGACAAGAGATTAGCAAGAAAAATATTGGCAATTGCAACTAGTGCTTCTTCTGAACGAGGATTTAGCATTGCTGGAAGGTTTTTAGAACAAAGAAGAACGTGTTTGAATCCAGAAAATGTCGATTCATTATTATTTTTGCATTATATTTACATATAATATCAATTTTATATTTATTTCATAAATATTCTATTTAATCAAATAAATTGTTCATAATTTAAATTGAATATTTTTTTTATGCTTAAATTAATTTTCTAAATTATAAACTTTTTGTAGAGGTGTAATACTGAAATATTTTTATTAGATGCTTAAAAAATTGAAAGAATGGCCATTATTAAATTTTATAAGTGGTCTTGGGTTAAATTTTTTTATAAATAATGGGCTGGCGGGTAAAATCTTTTAGACTTATGGGCGGGCGGGTAATGAATTTTAGACAAATGGGCGGGTCGGGTGGATATATATTTTTTGAAAACTATGGGCGGGTTGGGCGGGCAGGTCAAATTTTTTTTAAACATTGGGTGGGCCGGCTTTTGATCCAAAAACTCGCCCAATGCAGACCTCTAATCCCCACCTCCCCACTTTTTCAAAATAAAATAGTTAAAAAAATTTGGCTTAAATATATGTTACAATATGATTTATCAAATATTTATTAAGAATTTTTACAATCGATTAGGTATTAAAATGCTATATGGGTAATTCCATGACAAATCGACCAGTGATTCGGCCGACCATCTCAAAAATGAAGAAACTTGGCATGTTAGTTATTTATGTTGTAAATGATAATAAAATCCAAATTTTAGAGCCCCAGCTCAACCAGATTCAAAGATATACACCTTCAAAGTAGAGAATCGCATAATGCGTGATTTCTTATATCTTGTTTTTTTTAAAAAATACTTAAGATAGAAGTACAAATAATATATCACTTTATAGCCCTTAAAATTTTACATTGGAAAATATTGAAAAAAAGTTAAAAAATTTTAAGTGTTTTTGTATTTCCGGTAAAAATAAAAAATTAACATTCCTGGGAAATGATTTTTTTTTGGTGTTGATACTCTCTAAAAATGTTTATTACCTTTATATTAAACTATTTAATGAAAAATCTCGATAGCCATTTTTGTTTTTTTAATTTTATTAAAATTTTTATTATTTTTGTAAATAAAAAAGGATAATATAGATGGCGTTATACTAAATTTATTAATAACATATTATATTTAATAATAATATATTTTATATCGGTATTAAAATCAAAAGAAATCGATTAAGTATAACCAGTATGATGTGGCAATAAATGAGGAAGCGGCCCATATAAAGATACTTTAAAATTATATTCAAGCTATTATAAAAATATATCTATTTATCGCAATCCATTTTGCGCTTAAATAGAAATTCTTGAGGCCGTAATTTGTATATATTTCACACTTCTGGATCTACTATCGTTATTATTTGAAATTAAAGATTTTATCATCTTATTTTATTTTTCATTCCTTTCTTTCTATTAAATTTTTAATTATCAATCATGATTAAAAACAACATAAGGATTAAAAAAATCTTTCTTTTTTTACTTAAAATTTTTTTTTAAATTTAAAAAATTGTAATAATGTAATCACTGTGTAGTAATCTATTCATTAGAGAAGGCCATAAGTCTATTTCAAAAAATCTACAAAAGGTAAGTTTATTTATATTATGGGATTCTGGATTTTTTACTAATATAATATCTTTTTTATTATTGGATATCGTGATTATTTTATTATATATAAAATTAAATTACACCAAAGATGATTAAAAAATCCAAAGGTTTATTAACAATAGGCCAATCATTATGTCACTCATGTCGCTTATATTTGATAAATATGGAATCCATTGAGGATATATCTGAAAATGAAGAGCCCCAACTAGCCCCATCCACTTCAACTTTGGATATAATAAATGTATCGCTAGAAGAAATAGGCCAATCCCCAATAAAAAAGAAAAGAATAGGAGAAAAGAAATATCCGCAAGAAAAACTTAAAAAAATAACAAAAGCATTAAGTCAAAACAGAAGCAGCCTTCCTGAGTTTGATATACAAAATAATAAAAATGACGAACTTCTTCAAAATTTAAAACATCATTATCCAATTATTTCTAAGGAAAAAAAATATCAACTCCTTAAATATTGCCCCCTTCTTGGACCTCTAAAAAAATTGAGATGGAGTTCAAAGCCACGAATTACTTGGTAAGAAAATTAAAAAAACTAATAGAATTAAAAGGATTTATGTCATCTCCCAATATAAAACCTGGGCAAACAATTGATCAGGAAACCGTGAATATTATAGAAAAATTTTACTCTTCTGATGAAGTCAGTCGCACGATGCCCGGGAAAAAAGACTATAAATCCATAATGATCAAGGGGAAAAGAGAGCAGTCTCAAAAAGATTAAATTTAAACAATTTAAAAGAATTATATGAACGATTTAAAGAGAGGTACCCGATAATTAAAGTTGAATTTTCTAAATTTGCAGATGTACGGCCAAAAAATTGTATTCTGGCTGGAGCCAGTGGAACACACAGTGTGTTTGTTTGTGTAATTCATCAAAATTTTAAGCTTATGTTTGTAGATGCTAATTTGGCAAAACTATTAGCTATGCCAAAATATCCATTACATAACTATAAAAATATTTTAGCTCAAACAATATGCAATCCAGCACTCCCTATTTGTTATTTAGGAGATTGTAACTATTGTCCAGGCACATTCTCAATTAAAAAACAATTAGATGTTGTATTTGCCCAAAATGACATAGATCATATATCCTTTAAACAGTGGGTGTCTGTTGATAGAAGTAATCTGGAAACAATAAAAAAATCTTTTCAAGAATTTTTAATCTTTTTTTTAGAAAAAATTCCACATATGTTACGTCATTCCTTATATTATTATTAAAATTAATATAACACCATCTATATTATCCTTTTTTATTTATAAAAATAATAAAAATTTTAATAAAATTAAAAAAACAAAAATGGCTATCGAGATTTTTCATTAAATAGTTTAATATAAAGGTAATCAACATTTTTAGAGAGTATCAACACCAAAAAAATATCCCTTCCCAGGAATGTTAATTTTTTATTTTTACCGGAAATACAAAAACACTTAAAATTTTTTGATTTTTTTTAAATATTTTCCAATGTAAAATTTTAAGGGCTATAAAATGATATATTATTTGTAATTTTATCTTAAGTATTTTTTAAGAAAAACAAGATTTAAGAAATCACGCATTATGCGATTCTCTACTTTGAAGGCGTATATCTTTAGATTTGGTTGAGCTAGCACTCTAAAATTTA